TGTATGTGTTGCCTAAACATCATGAGGCTTCAGTTATCAATGTTTGGCTCTGATGTGATGTAAAATCTGCTTCAGAGATGGCATTACTGGAGGTCTAATGTAAGTTGTATGTGTTGATGATAATTTCATTGAATTCTTGTTCCAAATACACTTACTTGAGGTCCAAAGCTAGAAATTAGTGGCGCATCCACTTATCCATTCTGGAAATTACATATGCAAATTTGATGAATTTCAAAAATGACAGATAAGAAATAATTATATTCACTGTACACTGTCGAATTACAAGCCATGCACATGCTAACAGTAACTACAGACCAAGCAGGCGCGGTGGTGATTTCCCGTAATTGTCCTCAAAGATTTTCGAAATTTATAACTTTGAACATAACCTCTCTTCAGAAAGCACAAAACAAATAACTCGTCGGGCACTGGTAGTAGATATCCTTCATTGGCAGCATATTCAGTGATGATTTTCTCACACAGCAGGTATCACTGATTTTATACACATGCAGAAAAAAAAACACAATCATCCAGATGCGATCTTGCGATTCAACCAACTTTCTTCTCAGAGATGAAAACTGCAGACCACTCGGCTTCACAAAACATATGCATCCAACAATGCGTGTAGTATAGTTGTGTCATTCCTCCTCAGATGGGCGCTTACAACGATCCTAGTGATTAAACGTGGAATGACTGTCTACACTCTAATGTCTGCAAGATGACTTTTCATAGGTTTTTTTTTGAGGTTTTTTTACGTAACCCGTGTGACGTACTCTAGAACCTATAGCTTTATGCAGGTTCACACTTTTTGGCAGAAACGTTCTGATTATGCGCAATAGATTCTCATAATTCCAGAAATGTTTGCGATTAGCCATTGCTTATAGTGAAAAATAAAAGTACTCACTTAGATGTAGATTATTGATATTCCATTTAATCGGAACTGTTGAGAAATATACTCATATCATCCTCATATATACTAAGTGACATATAAATCCGAACACCCAGTTTAAATGGTTTTATTTAATAAAAGTTGGTGAATGTATATATCTTACTGTAAATAACAAGTGAACAAATTTTCAGCCTTATCAGTTGGACATTCGGGTTTTTATACTGCTTTTTTTTAATTCACTAACGCTCTAAAAATGAATATTTCAGCCGCAGTAAAGAATCAACGTTGGCGGATTTTGATTCTTCACATCCTTTACGATCGGTTACGATGCCTAGACTATGGAGACCTGTACGATTTCGTCAACTTAGTGAGTTTGATAGGGGCCGTATAGTGGGACTTCGGGAAGCTGGACTTTCTTTTCGGGCAATTGCAGTTAGAGTGCAAAGAAGTGTAGACACTGTGGTTAGGTGTTGTCAGGCATGGATTCGAGAAGGCCGTACGCAAAGAGCAAGGAGCACTGGACGCCGCCGTAGAACAACAGACCGTGAAGATCGCCGCCTAAGATTATTGGCCTTAAGGGACCGTTTCTCCACTACCAGGTCCATTGCAAATGAATGGTTTGCAGAACACGGAAGACCTATTGGCATGCGAAGTGTTTACCGACGAATGAGAAGTTTTGGCTTGTTTTCATACCGGCCACACTGGGTCCTCCCTTTAACTCGAGAACACCGACGTAATCGCCTTGAGTGGTGCGGACAACGGTCACTCTGGGATCAGGAATGGAACAGTATTATCTTTAGTGGTGAGTCTCGATTTTGTTTGGGCATGCACGATGGTCGTGCCAGGGTTAGAAGGCGACGTGGTGAAAGGAGGAATCCACAGTTTTTTGTTGAAAGACATGTTCATCACACTGTTGTAGTTATGGTTTGGGGTGCTATAGCTTATGGTTCCAGGTCACCTTTAATCTTCATCAGAGGTAACATGAACGCGCAGCGTTATATCCACGAAGTTCTAGAACCCCATCTTTTACCCTATCTTGACACCCTGGCAGATCCAACTTTCCAACAAGATAATGCCCGACCACATGTTGCAAGAGTCACAATAGACTTCTTTCAACATAATGATGTCACATTGTTACCATGGCCACCAAGATCTCCCGACTTATCCCCAATTGAGCACGTGTGGGATATGATGGGTAGGAGATTGCTCAATTTGTAACGTCCTCCTCAGACTCTAGAAGCACTTCCAGGGGATTTGGTGGTTGCCTGGAATGAGATACCACTGGAGGACATTGACCACCTGATCAGAAGCATGCCTAGGCGTGTTGGAGAATGCGTAGCACATCAGGGTGCATCCACACATTATTAAAGGTCAAAGGGCTTTAAAGCAGTGCAATCATTTTGAAATTTTTATGACTTACTTATTATGCTTCATTAAGTACTTATACAAAATTTTATTAAAATAAAACCATTTAAACTGGGTGTTCGGATTTATATGTCACTTAGTCTATGACTCATAAACCTTCTATGATATCGAGACCGTTAGTATTCAAGATGTGTTAACAAAAGAGAGGACTGCAAATATCAGCATATCCTTGAAATTTCCGCACAGTTGTTCGAAGCGATATCTGTCTGAATATCTCCTGTTCCTCGCTAGTTACAGTAGCATTTTTCCCTATTATTGCTCCGCTAATCTGAGTCGAGTCTCATACATAAAAGCAGGATCATTAGACACATAATTAAATACGTTTCATGTCTTCATAACGAACACTTGTCAGCTAAAATGAAGATAGCGATTCATCAGCATCGTTAGTGATTAGGCTCGATCACCGTTTGCTGGGATTTGCAACAATGAGGATCGTATTATTTGTAACTACTGTTAGAGGAATGTATCCAAAACTAAACCATTTTCTTTTAATTAAGAAAATTATAAAAATAAATAACGGTATTTTTTTAATCATGCAATGTTTACTTTGTAATGTTACGCACACCTTGTAGTTTAACATTAATATTTGAATATAGTAATAATAATAAATGTTTTTATTTCTAAGATAAGCACACAGAAAAGTTGCATAGAACTTAAACAAATTATCGATGCATTACTTACAAACGGCAGAATTCGGATCTTGCTACTGTATAGAATATAGATCAATCCACTGGTTGGCCAGCAGAAATACGTATCGCTCGCGTTACCTATCCTATTTTCTGCTCGAATTTTGCCCATTATTTTCCTACTTTTTGTTATATGCCTTTCTCCGCATGATCATTTTCTTATCTTCTTGTCGCTCTGCGGTCCCTCTGGGACATCCGGATCCCCCGTAAATGTACGAAAACTGAATGCTTCTTTATCACCAAACAATACACGCAGTCACCAGAAAAACCGAACGAAAAAACCTGACCATTTTATCATTTGTTATTCAAGTCAAGAAAAATCGATATGTAAAACATTCTTGAATTCTAATAAATATACGTAGGTGTTTACCTTTTTTTGTCAGTCAGCATACACACTTTATAGAATTATCACTCATTGTCGTAGTGTATTTTATAGTCTATATAGTGGTACTCAGAGTTGGGACTTTCCTTTACACGACATACAGATCTTGGAAAAATAAGCATCCTTTTTTCTAGTAACATATACACATTCTTAAGATTGCCGAGATTTTAGGCTCTGCAAAATCAATCAAACCTAAACAAAACTTATTCCGGTCCTGCACATCGATCATATTAAACGTAAACACGGAGGATGCGGATCAGAACTTAATCTAGGCGCTGGCCGCGTTTGTAAACAAAACTACTACACGTCGGTTCTAAAAAAAATAGCACGCTCTTACATCACTCATGGTTGACGTTAGAATGTTGTTGAGGCATCATAACAACAGAAATTAGTGTAGAATAGTTAACAGCCAGAAAGCCCAGCAGTGGGCAATACATGCTCTACTACGATTGCACGCACTAATCTTTAATGATATTTCTTTATATTTCGGCTTGATGCACATTATATGTGTATATGTAAATTCCGTTATTCTTGAATGCTCACCTCGACTGCGCTCGAAAATGTCAAGGCGACGTTTTTTTGGAAGTTCGTGGCCCTTGCATCCTCTTACATCATACTCAAATCGTCAGATTTCAGCATGTAATTTACCTACCTTATCTTAGTCTCATGCGCTCGAGTATTTCTAATGATCATTTTTCAAAACTATTCTGACCCGCTGTTATAGACCCTATATAAAGGGCGTATACTGGGAAAACCAAATTTATCTGATGGCTTGTGTACGAGAGAAGAGCGCGAGAAGTGTGTATCAATACATGTTAGAAAGAAATAGAAACCGACTAAGAGCAAAGGTCATTACCACATTGCCTAGCAACGGTGACGCAGAAGGTCGTGCAATCTGCCGCGTTGCGAATTTACTACACCAGAAAATGTTCGCACAGGCTGCTACAATAGGTTAGGTTAGATACTGTCAAAGGGGGTCTTTTCGAACATTTAATTTAACTTGTTGATTGTTTTTGATGTAACTTAGTGTCTTAATTTCTTTTAGATTTATCTTTAATTTCCACCTGACAAAACCAACGCATCCTGAGTTATTGTTACATTTTGCGACAGCGCTGCAGTCACAGAGTTGCTAGGCAACGCGGTAATGAGCTTCGCTATCCAACCGGCTCTTTCTAACATATGTGTCTACACACACTTCTCTCTCGTACACATTGAGCTCAAGCCGTCAGACAAATTTGGTTCTCAGTATATACAGGGTGTCGACCAAGTTGAGGTTTTCCTTAACCCTAGGTCAGTCGCGCGGGTGACAATCGTCACCCACTTTCATTTAATATGCCACTATTTAAATGTTTCAGCTCACTTGGCAACATCGCTCCGAGTATCTTTCATGTTATGATAGATGTCTGTGCCGTCAAATATTTAGTACGGCTTGTGCGTGTTTAGTGGAGATATCGCTGACCAAAGCTGTGTGGTTGACAAGTGTCCCCCGCGCGACGTTCTACGTTGTAAAATTATTATTAAGGTGTTGTTGTACTGTGGCAAAGGTAATTCAATTTTTAATATTTTTTCTCCCTATGCTAAGGTATTTTTGCTTTAGGTATTTGGAAGTAGTAGCAAGGCCATGTCTGAACAGAAAAAAAGAAAAGTAGAGACCAGTAATGATCCCAATGTATGGCTGAAGTGGTACCATGAACTAAGTGATGAAAGTGATCTGAGTGAAATCTCTAAGGATGAAGATGAAAGTGACAAAGAGGAAGAAAATATACTGACAGAGAGTGAGCATAATACAGAATCGGAACAAGAGGTTGCGGAAAGTGAAGAAGTTGAAAGTGACGAAGACGTGCCTTTAGATTCTTCTAGTTTCTACATTGGGAAGGACAAAATAACGAAATGGAGAAAAGCGAATCTTCCAAGAAATGTGAAAACAAGGTCCCATAACATTATTATTTATTTACCAGGACCCAAAGGTAAAGCACGAGAAGTGAAAACAGAAGTAGCAGATTTAGAACTCTTTTTAGACGACAATATTCTCAAAACAATTACAGCGTGCACTAATATTTATATAGAGAAAACACGTCAAGAATTTACAAGGGACAGAGATGCAAGGAGTACTGATGAGATAGAAATAAGGGCATTTATTGGATTGTTGTTCCTTATAGGCACCATGAGATGTTCTCGTAAAAATATTCATTTACTATGGGATAACTCCAAGGGAAATGACATTGAATCATGTTATCTTACTATGAGTGAACAAAGGTTCCGTTTCCTTTTGAGATGTTTGAGATTTGACAACATCAATGACCGTAACATGCGTAAAGAACTTGATAAAATGGCAGCAATTAGGGAAGTGTTTGAAATATTCACCAATAATTTTGAGAAATATTTCTCACCGAGTGAATATCTAACTATAGACGAGCAATTGCTTGCGTTTAGAGGTCGTGCAGGTTTCCGCCAGTACATCCCCAATAAGCCAAGTAAATATGGCATTAAAACATTTTTTTGGTTGATGCTAAAACAGCTTATACTATGAAACTGGAAACGTATGATGGATTGCAACCTCCAGGTCCATATCAGCAAAGTAACAATGCCAAAGATATTGTGATGAGGATGGTGGAACCACTTCAGGGTACAAATAGAAACATCACAGGAGATAACTGGTTCACTAGTATTCCATTAGTCAATGAACTGCTGACTGAAAAGAAATTAACATACGTAGGTACTCTCAGAAAAAATAAAAGAGAAATTCCTGAGGAGTTTCTTCCCCAAAAAGACCGGGATAAATTTACTTCAATTTTTAGATTCCAGGAAAACTGTACAATTGTTTCTTACTGTCCACAAAAGAATAAAGCAGTTCTAGCAGTTTCTACCATGCATCACGATAGTGCAATCAGTGAAGACACAGGAGAATATCAAAAGCCGGATATTATAACATTTTACAACAGTACCAAGATTGGAGTAGATTTAGTAGCCCAAATATGCCAAAAAAATAATGTAGCAAGAAATACGAGACTTTGGCCTATGGTTGTATTTTATAATTTATTAAATGTTTCCGCTGTAAATGCTATGATAATTTATAAGCTCAACAAACAAATCGAGGGAAAATTACGCCGAACTGAATTCTTGCAAAGCTTAGCATGGGATATGTTGACACCACAAATAAAACGAAGAGCTTACATTTCACAAATTCCACGGGAACTTCGCCGCAGGTCAATGGTATTGCTGGGTTTGGAACCCTCAACTTCTGTAGCTGAACAAAGAGATCGAAGAGCAGCAAGAGGGCGCTGTTACTACTGCGGAAGAGCACGAGATAAAACAACTAGAAAACTCTGCGCGCAGTGTCAAAATTTTGCACTGCAATGACCACCTAAAAGAAATTTGTGTGCGATGTTATGAAAACAACGACTGAAGTAGTAATTCACAGTTATCTTATGTTTTAAATATATTTTGTTGTTAAAATCAACCTACATTTTATGTCAACGCTTATAGAGAATATCTTGTTTCTTATTTAATAAATATTTTGAAAAAATCTTGTATAGGTTATTTTTTAGGATGGTTGACACTTGTCACCCACGCGACTAATAATGTGCGGATAAGAGACGCGACTAACCTAGGGTTAAAACGACGTGCAGATCTTGAGAAAATAAGCGGATTTTCTTAGTAGCATATACACCAATGTCTTAAGAGAACCGAGATATTGGGCTCCGAAAACTCAATCAAACCTGAACCAAACCGAAGCCGGTCCTGTCCTATCTCTCGATCACGTCCACAGCGCCAGCGCCGGCGTACAGTTATACGACGTACGACTATGATGTAAATACTGATTTTACGACAGAGTCGTACTTGGAATTTCAATTCAACTGAACAGTGAGTACTTTTTAATTTATTTTTTCTTTACTTGTTCGCTCACGTTTCACCACACATTAGCTTTGTGGATACCTGTATAGTGGCGGTGCTCAACAGGATGCAAGGTATCTCTCCTCATATCAATCTGCAGCGCTCAAGTAAATCTCAAAATCCCCTATCGGTCTCCCTTCCATTAAGTATGTAAATCCTACCGTTGTCCAAGCACCTTCAAACAATCAAAACATATTTCGCAACACTTGACCAATCATTCACCTAATCCAGAAGCGGGCCACGTTTGGCATAGCGGGCACTCTTATAATATGCAAATAGTAAAAATACAGTTGTCTGAAAAAATGAATGTGCAAACGTTAATAACACTTCATCCGTCGTTCGCGATGACCTTTCATAAAACGTTCACCGTTCAGTTGAATTGTATTCCAAAGTTGAACGATCGAAACTTTTTCCAACGATGTCTGCCGCGCCGCCGTTCTTGACATTATGGATCGCGTAGATGATCTTCTCACATGAAACAATTCACTATATTGCTGTAACCTTTAATTTGTAATGGGGATTCCTGCAGCGCTTATGGACAGGTCATTGACATGCTAGTAATTTGTTTTATGTTACTCATTGATTTATTATAACCACGTAAATTCGTTAAGAAATGAAGTCAGATACTGTCTTCTCACGCGTTTATACTGTCGCCTCTTTTTCCATAATGGAAGATGCAATGTGTAAAGTTAGTAGTGGATCAACAGAAGTCAGGAGATAGAGGTCTTCAAGATCTATCGAATGAACCCCTATATGTGTGGTACGAAATTTTATAGTTCAGGAGATATTTGCAGTTTGTGAAATTTCGAAAAAAACGAGAAAATGAACCTTCAATCGCAATTACAACTAAACCATTAGGTTTAGAGCTGTGATGAGATGAGCTAACTGGTTATTTTTAGCAATGGCTATGTCACTTTTTAACAGAGCTTATCAGAAATCAACGCAAAACATCTTAAATTCAATTATTTGTGAAAAATCTCTTCCATCGCTCAACTTTGGAGGGCGCTGAAAAAAATTGAGGTTGAATTTCATTATTCATTTTATTGTAAAAACTAATCCATGTCGAATAAACCCTGAAAATTTCAGCTTGATACGATGAGTGTATCATGTCCTGATGCCATAAACGTAAAAAAACGCAATAGAATCCTTACCACCCACAAGTACAGAACCTATTGTGTTTAGCCGCTCTTTATGGCGATCTACCGACAAATGTAGAGGATATTTAACTAACTTTTAAAGAACATGTTCGAAATGGCCTCCATTATTTTCTATATACAATCGACACCTTCTGATAAAATTGCCCTTTAGTCTTTGAAATAAATTTGCGTTTTCCATAATTTTTATTTTTGCTTCACTAATTCTCTGGCACAGTAGGTTAACATTTATATATTCAGATGTATAGATTATCACCTTATAAAACCCCTACATAAAAAAATCTAGAGCATTGATTCCCAAAGTGGTGTATACCGACCCCTAGGGGTCTATGACAACCTGCAAGGGGTCTACGTCCGCGAAAAAAAATTTGGGGGTCCATGAAATGAATATGGGGCTCCATTATAGTGGATCTCAACACATACACTGATAGTACCTATTTACTTACATCATACTATCTTATAATATCAAAACATATACATTATTTATAAAAGTACCTATGAAGTAAAAAATTTATTATATATGTTTATAAAATTGTGTAAGTTGTAGGATGTTGGTATTCGCTTTGTGGTCGCAATACATTTTTAACTTGTAAAAACCTGAGAGTCGCAGTCTCAGAGCTTCGCTACCTTGCACTGACTTGTTCAATTCGTCACTCTATAAATACGAATGTTGGACAAATACGTTTATTCGTTTCCTGAATTTTGAAAAGGAAAGTGCTAAGAAAATATTTGAAAAAATATAAACAGATAGTACTCGTATATCACACAAATTATAGTGAGTCAGTGTTATTTTGTTTGGGAGTTCTGGAGAAAAGTAAGTACATTATTTTTTATTAAATATTAGTTTTGTACTCGTAGTTAGCAAAGATAGATAAATTACGCCAGTCATGACTTTAGTTATTAGTATTTAAATATTCAATCATGCAAAATTACACGAGTACTCCTCAATAGTTTCTTTTTGAAAGTTTTAGCAATCGGTAATATAATTACAGTGCAATCTCCGTAATTCGAGCTAATTGTTGCAAGAAGATGTTCGAATTATGGAATGTTTTCGCAAAAATCAAAAAATATTTTTAATATACAGCTGCTGGATTTTCTGTCTTATTTAAATAATTTAATTTTGCCCACAGATGACTGATGCCATGTCCGAATCTAAAAAGAAATGTAGACAGTAGTGTTGATTATTTGAAATTTGGCTTCATTCCATCATTGCCAGACAAACAATCGCCTATGTGCCTGTTATGCAACAAAGTTTTGGGCAATGACGCTATGAAACCATCTAACCATCATCTGAGAAATTGCCACCCTGATAAAACAGAGAAAGATTTGAAATATACTAAGTGACATATAAATCCGAACACCCGGTTTAAATGGTTTTATTTTAATAAAAGTTGGTGAATGTATTTATCTTACTGTAAATAACAAGTGAAAAATTTTTCAGCCTTATCAGTTGGACATTCCGGTTTTTATACTGCTTTTTTTTAATTCACTAACGCTAAAAATGAATATTTCAGCCGCAGTAAAGAATCAACGTTGGCGGATTTTGGTTCTTGACATCCTTTACGATCGGTTACGATGCCTAGAGTACGGAGACCTGTACGATTTCGTCAACTTAGTGAGTTTGATAGGGGCCGTATAGTGGGACTTCGGGAAGCTGGACTTTCTTTTCGGGCAACTGCAGTTAGAGTGCAAAGAAGTGTAGACACTGCGGTTAGGTGTTGCCAGGCATGGCTTCGAGAAGGCCGTACGCAAAGAGCAAGGGGCACTGGACGCCGCCGTAGAACAACAGACTGTGAAGATAGCCGCCTAAGATTATTGGCCTTAAGGGACCGTTTCTCCACTACCAGGTCCATTGCAAATGAATGGTTTGCAGAACACGGAAGACCTATTGGCATGCGAAGTGTTTACCGACGAATGAGAAGTTTTGGCTTGTTTTCATACCGGCCACACTGGGTCCTCCCTTTAACTCGAGAACACCGACGTAATCGCCTTGAGTGGTGCAGACAACGGTCACTCTGGGATCATGAATGGAACAGTATTGTCTTTAGTGACGAGTCTCGATTGTGTTTAGACATGCACGATGGTCGTGCCAGGGTTAGAAGGCGACGTGGTGAAAGGAGGAATCCACAGTTTTTTGTTGAAAGACATGTTCATCACACTGTTGGAGTTATGGTTTGGGGTGCTATAGCTTATGGTTCCAGGTCACCTTTAATCTTCATCAGAGGTAACATGAACGCGCAGCGTTATATCCACGAAGTTTTAGAACCCCATCTTTTACCCTATCTTGACACCCTGGCAGATCCAACTTTCCAACAAGATAATGCCCGACCACATGTTGCAAGAGTCACAATAGACTTCTTTCAACATAATGATGTCACATTGTTACCATGGCCACCAAGATCTCCCGACTTATCCCCAATTGACCACGTGTGGGATATGATGGGTAGGAGATTGCTCAATTTGCAACGTCCTCCTCAGACTC